AAATGATTTGCGGACCGAATCATCTCCCAGTTTCTTTCTTCCTCCCATTCGCGTGCTTACAAGCTACGCCTGGTAGAGGAAGACCTGTCCCTGGTCAACTATTGCAACTCCAACAGCTAAAAAATGATTTCCGGTCGCAAACGGCCTACAAGGATCACCCAGTGCCCTAACCACGATTATGACATCTGTTGACGCCTATTTGACACCACCGCTTATTTCACCAAGGTCGATGAAAATCACCATGGTAGGCTCATTTGATGCCCTCATTACGAATATGTGATTTATTCTTGACGCTGCAGCTATTTGGCGCCACAATGTGCCGGCCACAACATGGCGCCCGAATTGTACCGTCGCTAACCTGGTTTTTCTTCAATATCCACACATGTAGATTTGCATTTTAGGGTTATCTGACTAATAGAAATTTGCATATTGGGTTTTTAATCGGTATAAATTTCATATTGTGGGTTTCTGACGTACTAATTATGAATAGAACATTCACTTTGCGCCCGCGCTACCTCAGAGCACTCTGATTGTTTATGCTTTGCTATGGCAAGGCTGAGCCTGAGCGTAAGAAGATCACTTCTTCCGGGGCTTAGCCTCAGGAGTGCTAAATGGCGCCTGTCACGGGACTTAATGCCATATTCCTTATCAGGACCACCAATTACCCCAAATGCGGGTTTCCAACGATACTGCTGGGAGAAGCCAACGCTGCTTTGGCGCTATATGGGAACGGTATCTTACGTTCAAGGTACTGAGAAATTTTTATAGGCATGGCGTTAGCAGAAAAATTCCATTGAGTTTTTGGGAATATAATAAATGAAATAGTGCCGAAAACCTTGTTTGAGTACGTTCAGCATTTGAAATATTGAACTGTACGCATGGTTGATCCCTCAGGCATGAGAAAAACGGTAAAAATCGGTAATTTGATTAATATCACCAGGAAAAGAATGGACAACCCACGAGTTTCAGGCAACACCGCTATTTGTTCATTTGTTGATGATATGTGGTGTTGGTGCGTATGCAGTGTTTGGCGCAGTGGTAATGAGGAAGCTCGAGACGAAGACGGTGGCCGAAATCCGCATGGATGTCGAGAAACGCCATTCTGAGCTGCAAGACGGTAAGATACTGAATTTCCCTTCCGGTAATTCCCAAACTGAGCTTTTGGTAGGTGCCAACTTCATTTACTTCACTTCGTACAACGATAGAAATGTTCCACGTCGGCTGAAGGGAAAGCTTTGAGGGCATGGCGGTCTTCACTGAGAGCTAAAGTGTTCTGATCATGTTCGCGGCAGCAGTATTAGTATTCCTGTGCTTTTCAAATCTGTCTACTATCAAAATGAGAGCATCCATTTGGCGCTTCCATGCTGCGATTGCCCATCCACCCACATAGGCATTACCCAAGCGATCTATGATGGGACTTTTACAGTACTGTAAGCAGAAATGATTAGCCAGTTTCTTTCAGTGACATTCTCCCAATCACAGGAAGCTGGTGTAAAGCACAAGCGACGACATCGCCATAATGAAACCGAAACCCTCGATGATTTCCTCAAACGAATGGACACTGGGTACGGTAACGAGCATGCTTGGTTCATTGTGTACGCTGAAACCCCCTCGCTATTTCTGGTCTCGTTCTGGGGAAGGAGGAGAAGCTCTATGGGGCAAAGGCTTCTCCTAGCATGACGAGGCATTGCAGAATGCATGCAAAGCTGATTTGAGCAGATTTTAGGCTTGAATCCACGATAGAGCCTCTAGATGAGTTAACAGAAACCGATCACTTAAGATCGCTAGCAGAACGCCATGAGAGGCGCAGTTCGACTAGGGAAGGGTGAGAGCATGGAGTACGTCCGCTACTTCTCATCGACGTGTTCATTGCTTTACACAAGTTGACAAATGGTCGAACCTAGCTGGGATCACTTCGTGACTTCAAAGGCTTTGCAGGTCTCCAGTCTATGGCTCGATGCGCTGATGGGAAGTAGCGGAAGTGCGAAGTGCCTCCACCCCTCCCTCTCAGGAACGAACTGCGCATTGAAACAGAAGCTGAAATAGTCGTCATCAGGCGCATGTTTGCTGTTGAAAGATCAGACAGGCGAAAACGCTATTGTCCGTAATCGGCCCATTAATGAGCAACGCCATCTAATTTATATATCCCGTTTAGGATATTATGACCATACGAGCGCAGAGCAGCGCGAGAAGTCATGCGAGTCGAAATGTGTTCTTCAGCGTAATCAAGGTGAGCGGCTACAACCACGCCCCGCTTCTCCCCTTTCCATCGTGGGTTCCGTGTTGGTACTTCCTATCAGGGTGCTAACCAAGCAAGCAGCTGACCCGAAAAAAAAAACTTGAACAAGCAAAATATCGAATTTTTCATCCACACACTAAAAGTACTTTCGTTGTGTTAGATGTGCGTAGGTCGTTGACTAGTATGGTTGACACTTGTATCCTTTAGCAGGTTGTATTGCAGATCTAAGCAACTCTATTGTTGAGAAGGGAATACAGTCTGGTTAGTACTATGGGCAACTTGATTGTTGTAAGGTCTGTGGTACTGTATGCTCGTTTTATTGTAGGTCTGAAGAAGCTGCCACGCAGCGAAAGCTCACCAATAAAAATTATTATTAGAGTGCTCTATCAGGCCATTTGTTCAAGAAAAAGGCATGATATACGATATGATATGCTTGAAGAACTATTCTTAATTCAGTAGAAGTGACCTAAGAAACACAGAAGTACGTGAACTTGGGTTCAGCACCCAAGCCACGTATCGGGGATGCAATAGCGAAGTAACAGCATCTCAAAAATGCTCGACCAACCATGAGGCATCTTTGAGAATGAGATTGAAGCATGAGTCAAGGAATAGAAGAAGGACGCAAGTACGGAGGAGCAACCATGCATTTTGAGAAATTTCGAGTCCAGTATCCGTAGATAGCTGAAGCTCCTGTGGAGTCGATTTCAGCGATGATGAAAGCTTTGATCAGGTTTAATACTAAGCAAACCGAATTCAGAGCGCTGAATAGTTTCTTCTCGTTGAATTTCCGCTTCCGCTGCTCAGCTTTCCACTGTATTACTGCTGAATACGAGCTTTAGAAGTGTTCGAAACGCGATTTTACGTTGTTCGAAGTTTTTTTTTTGTATAGTTTTTGCCTGAGTTATGCGCTTTCTTGATCTATCAGGAAAAGGTATCGGAGCTGTCCACTCAACTCCGTACTTTCATTCCAGAACTGGACGCAACTTCTGACTGTAAGTCTGATAATTGTGGATAGAGAGTTTGGGTTAAAGAGCTGGACAATGCTCCATCGTGGCATCGAACTGGTACCACACTCTTCTGCCAAAGACGATCCTGTTCAGGAACAGCGCTGAGATCATTGAAGGAGGTGGGTCTTGAAAAATTCTGAATTGTGGAGCAGTCATGTAATCAAAGACATCATAGCCAGTACTATCTGTAATGAGAAAGACCTTCACTTTGCTAAGGCTGGGGAAATATATAAAGTTGATAATTTCTCCAGTTTCTGAGATCATCCAATTTCAATTTCTGATTGCAGTTGGTGAAGAACAAGTGCAAGTGGAGCCGTGGTCTTTCATGGATTCCCTGCTGTTCGCATTCACTGTGATCACTACTATAGGTAAGAGCTCTGACATGAGACACGTTCCTCGAAATGCGCTAGAAGTTTCCTTTCATCATTCGGGAATACGAAGTTTTGACAATGAGCTGTAACGATGGGCAAGCTGACCACATTGAACTGCGTGCCGTTTGGTTAAAGACAATAAGCCAATTGGCTACGATCCTTGGAAATACGTAATGGAGGAGATCTCCTTCGTAACTTTGCGAATGAATGGTGTTGTGAAGCACTTCAACTGAGTGAAGCGTAATGCCGCTGTGGTTGGGGAGTCGTGGAGGAGGCAATGGGAGGGGTGGGGGCAGGCCCCTGCTAAACGACCCGCTAGTTTAATAAGTGAGATATACCCTCAAACAGCGACCAAATCAAAAGCTGACAAAGTGTTAAGGGGGACATCTGTAGAGGGCAGGGATAGTTGTCAGTAATGCCTGTAAGTCCCTGAGCACTTGCGTTTTTTTCTTGTTCAAAAGCTGAAGAGCAGTCGTTTTTAGTGGACTGTCCCTCGTCGACTGACCCACTTCAGGTTCGTATAAATATTCCATCTATCAGCGACGCTGAGCACTCGCATCGTTGTTCTTTAGGAGCTGTGGTTATAACATAAAAATTCAGGTTATGGCAATGTGGCGCCGAGGTCGTTCTCTGGACGTTTGTTTGTGATCGGCTATGGCCTTATTGGCATCCCCTTCACTCTGCTGGCAATCGCCGATCTCGGGAAATTCCTCTCTGAAATGATGTCCAAGTGGTCGAAGACGACAGTGAAATTGAAAAAGTTAGTATTTTGTTGGTCGTAAGCAAGTAGTTTGCCCAGTGAGCGCAAATGTTTCTCAAACTCCAGCATCAGCAACTACGCTCCTTATCTGAGAGATGGAGTGGGCGAGGCTGCGTAATTTATTGGGCATAGCGCAGAATGCGCTTCCTGTGGGATGTTTTCATTTGAGACATCAGACACTCTGACTTGTGCTTAGCAAAGACGTGGTCACAATTGTCCCCAAACGAAAATATCCTGCCAGGAGTGCAGTCGGCGCCATGTTTAAAAGAACTATGTGGCCACGCTCCCTCCACCTCCGCGATGGTGAAGTTTCTTGGTCGCACAAGAGTCTAGGTTCGCTATTCTGACGCCTCGGAGGCAAGAACATCCTTGTCTTCAATTTGTCCCAGATAACCAGCTCACAGATCCTATCTTGCCTGGACGACTGTAGAGGGTGTCATCTTGACCCCTACCAGCTTCGCAAGTGCTACGAATATCTGCAGAATTTTATTAGGGGCTGAGACGCGTTGACGTATGATCCCAGTGCTGACGGATAAGTGTGGATGAGGTAGCGACTGCGATTTTCTTCACCTCGTGGGAGTTTGAGATTGGTAGCCTGAAAAAGCAGAGTTTCGGGTAGTTTCCCACGTAGTTCAATTTACAAGACTAGCATCAAGCGTCACTGCGGTTGTTTGTTTAAACTGAGTTTATACTTCGCGACTCAAACCGTTCCCAAATCACGCTACTGCAACCGATCGCCTCGTTAGAGTGCTGCAACCGTTGCAATGCTTTCAACCGCTGCACAACTACAACGATCAGTTGAAAGCGTGACTGAAACTGAATTATGAACGCGGCTTAACCGTTGAAATGACGAGAGTAGCTGGAAACCTCGAAAAGCAGAATCCAGCAGTTCACTATACAGGTGCCTTTAACTGTTTAATCCGTGCTGGGGTTTTGCTACATAACCGGCAACAATTTCGCTGGCAACAATTTAGCGGCTTCTTGAACAACATTAATGGTGGGACTTTCTAAGAAATGCTACGCTTACACGCTTCCAGATATATGCTGGAGACTGCTGATATACAAAAGTAGAAGCAGAGGAAGCACCTACGAGAGCAGCTGCTTCCTTGGGGAGCATTTCGTTTCGTCCCGAGTTGCGGCGACTGCGGCCAAAGACGCTACTGTTGTCACACGCGCAGCATTCGCACCAGGACTTGATTTGCAGTGCAGAGTTGTACAGTCTAGTCGATTATTTATCAAATACTCTTCAAGTTGGCGCGCGCGATGCCGGCGACTAAGAACATTAATCCGTTCTCCTGTTTCAAACCATAGTACCTCTATTACTCTTAGCGCTTACTCCTAGCGTTTCTCTCGGAAACGACACGACCGGATCGGATTTTTCTGGCTTCACTGCAACCGTGTTCATATGACCACACTTCATGCATCATGCCCAGAGCTGTTCTGAACTGTCAGGAATCATGCAGAGCAGCCTTATACCATAATAATAATGGATTGGAGATATGTGTCCCTGATTTTTGTACTCTCTCTCTATCAGATACATTACTGACTTTCAGACGCCTGCAAGAAGAGTGGTTGTCACGATCCAAACTAAAAGGTCGCTATGACGCTGCTAAATCTAGCTCTAAGGGAATGCTGGAGAAAAGTCAGAGTCGCGAAGAAATTGTGACGCTTGAAGACGGCAAGGTATGCTTCCCTTCAAAATCGGTTTTCTTTCTTATCGTTGCATAAGTTATCGGACATTTGCAACTTCATGTTTTTTGACGCAGTTCGACTTGATAGGGGCATTTCGCCAGTTACAAATGATCGCTGGCGAAGCTTTCTGTGAAGACCAGTGAATTCCTGTCAAGCTATGCATTAGCACAAGCTTCCAGTCTGGTAAAGGACTTATAACAATCTCGGATTGCTGAACAAAGTTCTGTGAATAATAGCACAAGCTCCACTTACGCTTAACGAGAGTCTGGCCTAACCAAGGTGAGACGTGAAGCTTGATAAGAACTCAGAACTAATTACAAGGGTATCTACCCCTCTCGAGCCGAACTGCGCCTTTTTTTCATAATTTCGAGCACAGACCAATAAATAGTTTCAAAGGGCCACTTGAATAAGGGGAGAAGTCTTCCGAAAAGCACTCGTAACTTCCATCCGAAGTGTGACTAGGTACTGGAAAGCAAGTCACTCCATGGTAATTCTGAGCTTTCAACGTCACCAGGGAAACCTATTCATGTTCGCTGGAGACTCGTGCCGAAAGTGCTCTCCAGTGTCAACTACCTTCAGTTTCTAAAATTCAAGAACAGTATGTAATTGTCATCGTTTGAATCCGGTGGACGGTGTCAGGAGGCGTGGAATGAATCCACCCCCGACTACGTTTCCTACCATTGGCGTTCGGTTTAGGTGGAAAAGAACTAGGTGGAGAACGTCGCAAGAGGGCTCATTGTACGCCTTCTGACACCGCTTCGCAGGAGTGCGACGATATTAAAAGGTATGTAG